GGCATGTAGTCACTGCATGGCTCCCACTGCATGTACTGTGAGAGTCCCACTACGCTGAATAATACACATGCTGAATAACGGCGTTGTCTCACTTCACTGAATAATACACGTTGCTGAATAACGGCATTGTCTCAGATATATGTCTTCTAGGTCACACCAAGAATGTCACGATAACGTTGAGATCAAAAGCATGAACGCCACTCAATCAGTCTCTGTATAAGCACATAGGCAACAACACAACACATAAGCACCTCACAGGGCTGCTGGGTTCGGGCTGAATATATAAAATACAACCCCCAAAATAACACTGAGTTTCAACATTATAAATTGTACAAGTTATGTATCCAAAGAACCAGTATAAAACTTGGCCAACCATGATATTGGACGATACAAAAGTTTACAATATATTTACAAAACATTAATGTTTCCAGATGGTGAAGTAAAGTGAGAAATAAACCAAGTTTATTTCACAAAAATAATAAAATATCACCACTTACTTTGTTTAGACCCTTTTCAAACTATGATCACCAGATGTTGAAATGATGTGGAACAACAGCTTTCAATAACATTTATACTTAGTGGAAATACCTGAGTTGAGTAATACGTTCAATACTTGACCAATCAGATAATATGTACAGTGAAATCAAAATTACAAATTACAATTATAACATGAGCTGTCCAGCATGTTGGACTCACTCCAAAATACAATAATACAATATGAATAACACAAGCTGTTCGATTGCAGTGACAATTATTGTTTCTTAAGGTTGATTATAACCTGAACAAACTGCAAAATAATGTGAAAGCAGGCCCAAATTATGACATAACTCCCCCCCATTTGAGAAAATATATGAAATTATTTTCTTCCAACCCACAAATATTTTGGGCCTGTAAAAAAACCCACAAGCCTATAATAGCCTACTTAAGCAATCGGCTACTACATTGTCCTTTCCCCTGATGGCTTCTATTTTGAAATTGAATGCTTGCAAATAGAGTGACCATCTCAAGACTCTAGAATTCTCATGCTTGCACCGATTCAAATACACCAGAGGCTGATGATCTATCTGGAGAGTAAATTCTCTTCCATATAAATACACCTGAAACTTCCTCACACCAAACACAAGGGCGAGACACTCTTTTTCGATTGTTGAATAACCCTTTTCCCTCTCTGAAAGCTTTTTGCTAGCGAAAGCGTTGGGGAACAAAACCCCGCCATGGAATTGTAACAGTGCTGCCCCCAAGCCCTTATTTGAAGCATCTGTTTGAAGCACAAATGTTTGTGTCAAGTCTGGTAATCTAAGAATGGGCAATTTGATGAACATTTGTTTCAAATCATGAAAGGATTTTTCTTGTTCCTCTCCCCATTTCACTAAATGTGAGCAACCCTTCTTGGTTAGATCTGAGATTGGAGCTGTGATAGCTGCATAGTGTGGGATATATTTCCTATAAAATCCAGACAATCCCATGAATGCTCTAACATCATATTTGAGTTATAATCACTATACTGTGAGGTCAACACTCTGATACTTATTAGATTTTACATTTTCCTTTTATTAATCTTGTGACTGATCTTGGGAAAATGCCAACTTATAATCATGCTTTTAGGGCCTGATAGAACAATAAAAGGTAACTATCAATTTGAAGGCAAATATATCATATCTGATTCAGTGATAGAAAATAAGCATCAGATTAGAAATATATCACCTGGCAGAAACATTATAGTCAGACAAATTGAGGAAAATCACTTGGGTGAAAAAAACAGATTGTAAAAGACAAGCCATGAACCAAAACACCAGGGGTCATCAATAGGACAAAATGGCAAAAGCCGAATACCATAATTGCAAAATTAGTGAGTAATTATTAAAATCGATATTATAGTACCCCACACACAATTTTGTCGCCCACTTTAATGTGTTGTAGAAAAAAATCCAATGAGTATTTTCTCATGAAATTTGGCATACATTAAATTGAAACAATTTGTGACACTCAAATTTTTTTGTTTGGGGTAATATGACTTCACCACAATTTGACATCGTTTTCTAAATTGCTACGTATTTACAGATTTGGCCTAAATTAAGCAAAATTTTGAAACAATTTGTAACAAATTGAATTACAAAAACAATTTGAATATTCTGGTCAATCCTATCCTATTTAACACCATTATAATCCACAGGTAAAAGCAAAACTGAACCAAGCAGGAGTGACTGTTATAATGTTACATTGTTATGATGTTACCCCTGAAAGGTCACATGTTAAATCCATGTGAATCATTTCATGTTGTCCAACAAAAGGTAAGCGGTCAGTGGCCACCTGTGAGTCATTGGACGAATATGGCCTCCCTATCGTAGGCCAACGAAATTTTGAAGAGTGCAAGCTCACTGTTAATAATGAACAAAATACAAGCAATTTCTTGAGATTATATGAGATGCGAGCTATTGAAAAAGATTTTTTAATCGAGTGAGAAAGTAGGAAATGGTGTCGTGGTAGGATGGGATAGAAATCCACGCAGGGATGTCTTTAAGTGCACTGATAAACCTTTTTAGACTTAAAGCCAACAATTCATATGATACATGCACCTACCCTTGTATTGAAAGTATTAATAGGGGTCTTCACTCTTTAACAATAATAAAACCACACTTATAATATTCCTATTTAGGAGTTAAAACATCTCCAACACATAGTAACAATATCTTAAGAGAACAGATAAACCATATGTTATGCAATAAAACTGTAATCAAAATGTAATCAAAATGATTTAAACTCTCTTTGAAACTGCAAAACTGGAAATTTTCGTCGAATTTTGTTAAAACATGAATATTTTAAAATTGCTTGTTTTTCGTCAATATTACTTTAATTTCCAAATAAAAAAATTTGAGTGTCACAAAATGTCTCAAGTTAAAGTATGCCGAATTTCATAAGCAAACTCTATTTGGATATTTTTCTACAATACATCAAAGTAGGCGACAAAATTGTGTGTGGGGTACTAGCAAGTTGCTTTGAAGCAAACCACACCATAGGCGAAATTGTATTCATGGTCAAATAGGGGATAATTTTTTAAAAGAGTTTACTTTTACATCTTTCTATATTCTGTATACAAATCATTAAAAATATCTAACTTCATTTTAATAGAATGGAAAAAGTATTTTTTAATGTTCATTGTTATATTATTTTTGATAAGTTTTATTTACTTGGTAGTTTGTATAATATTTATTTGAAAATCATACATTCTTATTTGTAAATTGTTTAAAGTATTGTTTGTAAATTGTTTTATTTGTAAATTCTATATTCTTATTTGAAATTTGAACTTTCATATTGGAAAATGTTTAGATTTAGGTTAGGAAGTTTGCCAAAATTCACTGTCAATATCTTGACATTGGAAGCTCACCAATAAATTGACACTGGAAGCTTGCCAATATTTTAACATATCGCCTACCACTATTTTGTAGACAGATAATTGATACTGATTAAATACTATGCGACACACTTTCACAGAAAGTTCATAAACTTTTTTTGAGATGTGTATAAATTGCAGCACATTTAAGGGGAATTCCCATTCAACATTCATAAACTTATACATGTAATACAACAGTTTTGTTACAATTGTCGGTGTAGTATTGGTGAACTGTAAAGACAGTGTTGCTGGATGATTAAATATACATGTACATTTGATATACACCCAGGTCATTTTGTCAGTAAATATTCATTTCCAAGACTATGATCAAGTAAGGCACTATTAGGTCACGATGTGATCGGAATTACTGTTTTTGGTACAGTATTATGCCATGTCTATTCGAGTACAATGTAACTACAGCAATTCTCTGCTATATGATGTACTCTTATATCTTCAGATGTGCCCAATATAAAACAAAAGCTGCTAAAACAATGGAAGAAAATTCTAGAGGAGACCTTATGCCAGATATGCTTCAGTGAGAAGCGGACTGTTCTATTTACACCATGTGGACATGTCTACTGCTGCCATATATGTGCCAAAAAACTGACAAAATGTCCCATCTGCAGAACATTCAACATAGACATGGTTGTTATACAGAATCTGAGATAGCACGATGTGTAAGAGACAATGAAATTGAAACTTCATTATTTCCAACCATAACTGATAAAAATGCAATTAATTTATTACTTAGTTACTTGTAAATCCCATGGATTCTTTGTTTACAAACTTTAATATATCACTACACAAACATATACTGTACTCCCGGTTAATTTCGCAAATTTTAATTTAGCGAATTTTGAGAAAACACGATTTTGCGGCTATTAAATTTTGCAAATTGCACTAAGTACAACTACTATTATGTCATCTTGGTCAACAACAAACTGCACCTTAACCTTTATTAAATCGTAATTTTTGGGTTTATTTGATCTAATAAGCCATTGTAACAGACATTGTTACTAAGTGTCCCGTTTATCGCCTCAAAACACTTGACAAACATTTTACAAAACATGAAATGCAATGGAGTCCCAGGTTATTAAAAATTTCACAAATCCCTGGGGATTTAATTGACAATTTCGTGAATATTAACTTTCGCTATTTTACCACAATCGCGAAAACCACAAAACTAAATTGCACACGAAAAATCCCAGGAGTACAGTACATAGTATTTTTATCAATAAAACTATTTATAGTAATTATGTTGGAGTTTAAAATGAAACAGGAAATTGAAACAGGCTGTCTAAGGTTAAGTAGTTATATGATAAATGACTTTAAGTGTAGGAACTTAAAAGGCAGCATGTCTGTGACACTGGGGAATAAGAGGCAGCATGTGACAGTACTTATCAATAAAAGAAAATATGAAGACGATATCAAGATGTTTGAAAAAATATTCCCTACTTGTCCATAAAATGTTGAGTGTATAATTTTTGGCATTCTGCCTATCTAGGTGCTGGCACAGTGACAAATCCATCAATATCAATGTTAAATAATAAACTGTCCATTTGATTGCTTGATTGTTTGTTTCTTAGTTTTTTTGTTTCTTAGTTTATTTCTTCTTCCTGTTGTTGCATCTTGATGAGCTCCCAGTAAAGTCCTCTTTTCCTCTTTAGACTACCGTGAGTTCCCATCTGAAAATAAATTATTATTTATATCATATAAAGTCATTTTTATTCTGAACGATGCTTTTATCTTTACTTACATGTACCAATACCAACCTGATGTCTCTATATAAAACTACATGTATGAGTGATATTTATGTAACGTAAAAGAAAATTCTCTGTATATACAACCCTCACATCTATGAATCCCCAACTATAAATAAATGAGCTTGATCTAGAAATAAATACTTGATAGACATTAATAGGTTTTACTTAATTTTCATTGCCAAACTTGAAGTTAATATCAGAATGTCCTTTACGTAAATCATCAACCATTCAGTTATTTGAGTGTTCTGAAAGATTTCAACAGTTTAATCTTGTCAGTAGCTTTTAAAGATTTACCTCTTTAATAGCCCCATGAGACACCACTGCAATGAGGTCAGCATTCTGAATTGTACTCAGTCTGTGAGCAATAACCAACACAGTTCTTCCTGAAATGTTAAATAGGAATTATAATAGATATACAGATATCATGAGACATCTATGCAATGAGGCCAGCATTCTGAATTGTACTCGATCTGTCAGCAATAACCAACACAGTCCTTCCTGAAATGTTAAATTGGAATTATGATAGATAAACTAACATCATGAGACACCACTGCAATGAGGTCAGCATTCTGAATTGTACTCAGTCTGTGAGCAATAACCAACACAGTCCTTCCTGAAATGTTAAATAGGAATTATAATAGATAAACAAATATCATGAGACATCTATGCAATGAGGCCAGCATTCTGAATTGTACTCAATATGTGAGCAATAACCAACACAGTCCTTCCTGAAATGTTAAATAGGAATTATAATAGATAAACAAATATCATGAGACATCTATGCAATCAGGTCAGCATTCTGAATTGTACTCAATCTGTGAGCAATAACCAACACGGTCCTTCCTGAAATGTAAATAGGAATTATAATAAATATACAAATATCATGAGACATCTATGCAATGAGGCCAGCATTCTGAATTGTACTCAATCTGTGAGCAATAACCAACACAGTCCTTCCTGAAATGTTAAATAGGAATTATAATATATATACAAATATCATGAGACACCACTGCAATGAGGTCAGCATTCTGAATTGTACTCAGTCTGTGAGCGATAACCAACACAGTCCTTCCTGAAAGTTAAATAGGAATTAAAATAGACATACAGATATCATGAGACACCCTTGCAATGAGGTAAGCATTCTGAATTGTACTCAGTCTGTGAGCAATAACCAACACAGTCCTTCCTGAAAGTTAAATAGGAATTATAATAGATATACAAATATCATGAGACACCACTGCAATGAGGTCAGCATTCTGAATTGTACTCAATCTGTGAGCAATAACCAACACAGTCCTTCCTGAAATGTTAAATAGGAATTATAATAGATAGACATATATCATGAGACACCCATGCAATGAGGTCAGCATTCTGAATTGTACTCAATCTGTGAGCAATAACCAACACAGTCCTTCCTGAAATATTAAATAGGAATTAAAATAGATATACAAATATCATGAGACACCATGCAATGAGGCCAGCATTCTGAATTGTACTCAGTCTGTGAGGAATAACTGAAACAAGGCATTAATATGACAAAATGTCACCACCTGCAAATGGTTACCAAAGTGTAACAACTGTTACAGATGAAGGTCAAATCTCAAATCTTAAGTCAGATTTGAACTTCTGAGAAAGTGTAGGTGATTTTGAAAACATTTTGACCTTCAAAATGTGGCCATGGTAACAGATATTGGTAGAAATGTGTTGGAAATCATAACATATTTATATAACAGTAAAAATTTGAATTCAGTACTCGTTAAGTTAATTGTAAGAATTTGTTGGATGCTGTTACAGATGCCATATTTACTATAACAATATGTCACCACTTCTGGTGGTGACATAACAATAAATTGGAATAATAATAGATATGCAGGCATCATGAGACACCATTTGAATCAGCCCACCATTATTCACACATGTATGGTAGTTTGTGAGAAGTAATTAACATGCAGTCCTTCCTGAAACATGCCTGGATTTTTACAAGGATGTAATCCTTAACAATTAACCTATCTACATTTATGTATACATGAAAGAGTTGTCTGGGGAGCGACATTTACTTTGTCTGAATTATTCAATTGAAATTTTGTTCATATTTACATGTATACTTGAAATGCTCCAAAACTCTGATTCATAACTGCACTAATATACCTACCTTTAGTGGCATTATCCAGGGCTTCTTGTACAATTCTTTCTGACTCTGCATCCAAGGCACTATAACAAAATAAGATATCAGCGATGTAAGCAAATATAATGGAAGTAAATTAAAATCTGTCTGAGTGAAACACCTTTGATACCTCCAAAAAGTTGGTCTTTTTCAAAAGGTGTTCCACTTTACAAGTTTCACTGTACTGCATAATCCATTCCTAAAGTTTTATGCCAAAACATGATTCAAATTCTGTTTCAAAATTATAAGATTACCTGGTGGCTTCATCCAGAATCAATATGGTTGGATTCTTAATGAGTGCCCTGGCAATAGCGATTCTCTGTTTCTGTCCCCCTGAGACTGTCACTCCCCTCTCCCCCAGGACTGTCTTGTATCCCTCGGGGAATCTTTCAATGAATGTATGTGCATTGGCTTGCTTGGCAGCCTCGAAAACTTCACTGTCTGTAGCGTCTGGTCTCCCATAGCGGATGTTCTCTAGTACACTTGTAGCAAATAGGACTGGCTCCTGAAGTCCAAATGATAAACATATAGCTAAAATCATTTAAATCTTTAAAGCCAGCTTCGAGGCTTTCACTTTCAACATGGAATATCCTTGTGGGCCTCGCAACATTTTAGCTATTTGCCACTGATACAATATTTTCAACAATGAAGAGAAAAAATTAATAAATTGAAAATTTATTTTCGTATCACTCAGAAGTTTTTCAAACTGATAAACTTATTAAAGTGTCGAGTTGAATGATGTATTTGATTCTATGATGAGGCTTCTAATAGCAAATAAGTTGTAGTAGCTTACTTGATTAATAAATCCAATAACATGGCCCCTCATCCAAGATGGATCAAGTTCTCTGATGTCATGGTTGTCAAGGGTGATGCTGCCACCACTGACGTCATAGAATCTCTCAAGTAGGGCAGCTATTGTAGACTTCCCTGGTTGAAAAAGTAGTCCATCAATTACAACATTATTGGTCAATGCACTTGTATTTTGCAAGTAATGTACTTTACTAAATTGAACTCCTGCTTTCTTCAAGTCATTGTATCAGTATGATAGGTTATGGTCCATGTTCCATACATATTGTTCAGTATTCATAAGATGGCCTATATTCTTGTATTAATGAAGGCTCTTTTACTTTTTTTTAATTACAAAGCATACATTATGGTTCAACTCAAAACATTATAAAGGAGTCTTTCAGGAGGAAAGCCTAAAAAATCCCTCATGTTAATAGCGCCCTTCCACAAGTAAGATGTGCATATACTGACCTCCACCAGACAGACCGACCAAAGCAACCACCTTTCCTCCATCAACTTTTAAACTGAAGTCTTTCAACACAGTCTGAAATTTTCCCAAATTTTCCAAAGTTTTCTTCAGAATATAGTGGACCAAAAGGTCATAGCTTTTTCAAGAAAAAAATCAGATTTTAACATTCCAGTGTTCATTTAATATAAATAAAAGTATTCAATAGGCATTCATTGAGAAATTGTAAAATCTATATACATGTATTTGATGAGATGTGCATACATAAATATTAAATTGGATGTACGGTACATGTATTATCTGACTGTGTACTTTGAATTCTTTAATATCACTGGCTGAGTGAAAAAAACTGCTGAACTTACTTGGTTTTTCCTGGTTGGGTAGACAAAAGAAACATTTTTGAACTCAACATTGCCGATTAGAGTGTGGTGTGGGATTGTAGTACCTCCATTTAAATGAATCTCAGGCTGGATGTTCAGATACTGGAATACAAAGAATAAGTTAAAGACTTCAATTCTATACAGTATGTATCCTTGCAGTTTTATCTTTTGCACCAATCATTACACTATATCCTCACATCTATAATCCTTTCAACTATGCTCTCCACCCTAGATTAATTATTACCCTAGCCTACACCCCCAAATTAGATTTATCTTTACATTACACCCCAAAGAATAACAAATATAACAACAATGCAATGTTACCTCAAAGACTCTAGCGCCTGCACTGAGTCCTCTCACAGTCTGACCAAACAGTAAAGACATCTGAGCCAGGGACCTGCAAAGTTAAAGTGATGAACATAGGTACTAGGTCTACAGACACAATGGTTATAAAGATCGCAATTATTTGCCTGAATGGGTTACAATATAAAAGGACCTTATGTGGATTTAGAAAAAAACATGAAGAGGAATGATGAGTGAAAAAAAGATTCAGAAACTTTTACCTAAAAAAGATTTAGAATTAGCCTGTTTAAAAGTTCCATGTGTTCTTTCTGATGTTTATTTTCAGATTTCACATATTCTCAATAAACTGTCTCATATTTCACATTTTCTTCATACCTTTGTATTGTTTGTGTGGCCACAAGGAAAGACATGAGCTCTCCTGCGCTTAGTTTATTGCTGGACATTAGAGACCCACCTACATACAGCACCCCTAGTACAATCCCTGCAACAAATACATGTAAGAACATTTATAAAACAGGAATAAAATTAAAGTCATGGATTGTATGATAATTCATGAATACTAGGGCATGTATATACAGGATTAGTAGAAAATAAAATCAATTTAATATTTTCAATTTTTTCATTCATTTGACATTATTTTGCTATTACAATAATGAACAGCAAGACTCTTTCCATAATTGGCTTCAATACTTTAGGTTAAGGCATTAATTCTCAAATGAGTTCTCCTTTGTGTATTGTGAATCTACTTTTAGTATCATTATCATTTTGTGCTTTATGCACTACACAAATAACTTTATTGGCCAAACCAACAATGTAACAATGATTCAACACATACATGTACATCTACAATTTACATTCATGGTGCAGTAATGAGATTAGACTAACCGTTAAGAGCAAAGTTAGAAAGGCCCTGGAAGAGTCCAATTCCTACACCCAGCTTAGTGTTCAGCTGTGAAGACAGTTCCACCTCTTGATTGTACAATCTGTAATACAAAGATATTCGATTTTGCAATATGTTATACAAATGTAATTGATTGTACAATAATACAAAGAAAATTATGTTGCACAATATGAACTAAAAAGAAAACTGATTGCATAATATATATCATAATACAAAAAAGAGTGATGAGGGATATCACATATATTATATATATTCATATCCAAGATTTTAAGTGTAAAGCATCTGTCTTATAGAATGACATTATGAGATAATGACAGTCAAAATCTAACATATCAGCTCATTTATAACTAGATAGTCAATAGTATTAGTGAATATTAAGAGCACATGCTTATATATATATAGAATTGATGAAGAACACTGTTAGGTCAATGTGTGTTAAAGTGATTAAGTGACTTGGTGACTGTGGAATTTAAGTCATATGGATGAGTACACGTTCATGGAAAGTATAGAAATGTACTGTACATATAAACAAAGCACCTACTCTATTTCCTTTGGTTCCATTGCAAAAGCCCTTACAGTTCTCACATTTCCAATAGCCTCATCAGCAATTGATGTTGCCTTTGCAACCTGAATAAATATGTAAATAACCATATTCTCTTAACAAAATGTCTTGAGCAGTAATGTAAAGACACACAAAATGTATGTTACAATTTGTCATAGATTCATAAATATTTATATTATGGGCAGAAACACAGTGAGTTGAGCAGACTACGTAGGTTTATGAATGCATCTTAACCTACTGCAATTTAAACCATCTTCGAGGACAATCTAAACAATACACAGTAATATTTGAAGTAGATGATACGAATTGTTTTGTAATACAATGCAATTTACAATATTAAATTGAATTGGACTTGTGTCAAAAAAGATGTAATATTTATAAACAAAAAAATATCTTTACTTTAGTGGTTGATAAGCCCATGTGGGCTGGGTTGTTATTTTATTACTTTTCTTTTGTATTGTACTGTATTAAATGATGTAAACTTACCACTTTAAATAACAATAAAATTAAACTAAACTATACAGTGTTTGGCTATATTCAAATTTCTTTGCTCTTACAGACATCTGCTTTGATTTGTGAGCCATGTAATCTGCTTCCCAAGACAAGGACTATGTATAAAGCCTAAATGAGGCCTTGTTGATATGATTGCTGTTACTATGAGAACCATGTAACCTACCTGAGCTTGTGCCTCTCGAGACATGGACCTGAGTATGGAGCCAATAAGAGCACCTGCTCCTATAATGGTTGGTACTATGACAACCATAGACCCTGTTAGCATGGGGGAAATCATGAACAATGATACAACACAACCTAATGTCTGAAATATAAAAAAATATTCATAGAAATTATAGAAATGAAGCTTTATCCTAAAAACATACGTGTATTTATCTTAAAATTGTATAACGATGTTATGTACAGACAATTGTAAACACCTCAGAACACATTCACCAATTACATGTATAGGTGGCACTATTTACAAGTTATTCAATAACATTCTCCTAACTATTCCAAAAATATTGCTGAGATTGACATTTGGCACTAGTAACTGAAAAATGGGTAAGAAATTGTAATATTATTTGTGACTGGTGGCCATTATTTAATAAATATAGACTGAAGAGCAGGGGTAATATTGTCGAATACACCCCGCAGGGCTAGGCACAAACGTTCAAAAGCTTTTGTGCCTAGCCCTAAGGGGTGTATTTGACTATATTACACCTGCTCTGAGGTTTATATTACAATTCGAACATGAAAACTCACCAAAATGTTTCGAATATTCATTATGGACCGCCATTACTATGGCCCACCGTTATGACGTCACACATTACACATATTACCAGGGGTATTATTCGCGAATATACCCCCGATGAAATGATGACTTTGTTTACAGTTTATAGAAGGCGTGAACTGAATACAGTCATGTTCGAATTTGTATTATTTCATACATAGATCCAAAATATCAAACTCATTTATGCTGACCCAAAACAAGTTCATTTAACTTTGGATCTAAATGAGAACTTACTTGTGTTAGTGATCTGAGTCCCTGAGATATACACATCTTGAAGCTGCTCTTGAAGTCCTGTACATCAGCTGTCAACCTGTATACACATGAACAATAAGTTGATGTACATACATAGGCAATAATTGAGTTTAATTAAATGCAGGATTAGTAATTGTTAGCTATTCAATTTGTTGGATTTAAAAGATTGAAATTTTCTTCAATGCAATCTATCTCTCTTTCCAACAATCAAAGGTTGCTTCAAATGAATAAGTTATATGAAAAAGATTTGTTTCATGGAATACATGTATTGATTTTTTTTTTCAATGACATGTCATTTTAAAAGCAAATCTCAACTAATATTTTTGAGACATATTTCACCATTTAGTACAATACAATAAATTGTAAAAAAAGCTTTTTATCATTACAAAAATTCTAAATATGAGTATCAAGCTTTAACACATACTTTTAGAGACTGACTGATATGAATTGTACCTATTTATAAGTTCTCCAGTTTTATGCGAATCATAGAAGCTGATATCCTGTGATATCAAGGAATTGAAGAGTTGTTGTCTCATCCTCGTGGCAACCCTCTCCCCCACAGCTGACAGCAGGCTGATATAGCTGAATGTTAACACTCCCTAAAATGCACACATATAACTTGTAAAGAACATAGTAGTTCAAGTTTATATCATTTTCGTTAGAAAGGAATTTGTTGTATAGTATTTTTAAGACAGAATTTTTGGTAATTCTGTACAAAAAAGCTTGTTCAGGTTAATACTTTTGCAAAAAGGTATATCAGAAACATTTTTAAATTACAGTGTATAGTAATTCAAGTATAGTTTTCCAATCAGGCATATCCCTCAAAATTACAAAACTCCCTGTAACTGCTTTATTCTAACATATATTTACCATCTATAGTGCCTTAAAAACTAGTTTAGAAACTGCCTGATACTGACCAGTGATTTAGAATTGTATTTGTAACAATAAAAAAATAGCCACCTGAGTTACATAAAAGCCAATAAGTTTGAGCGCTGGTTTCTTCATGTGCTCGACATAGTTCTGTGTGCCTTCCTTGGTAAACTCTGAAAGGACATTGACCAACTCCCCCAGGTACAGAGGCATCTGTATGTTCACTATGGCCACTGCAAATGCTGCCTATAACAAAACACAGGGGGGGATTATTTTAGGTTATTTGTTAATTATGTGTATATTCAGAGACATATTAATTACGATTATGTCTTTGGTTTATTCTAATAAAGATTTTTATATAAATAAAACTCTTGTTAGCCACTGTAGAAAACTGCATTATTTGCCCAAATGTTGTACTAAGGTTAATACAAAATGTTATGCATTTAATAATCTTTTTGAATGCATATTACATGTATGTTACATTCAAAATATACTCACTACTACTGCAGCTATCAAGTAAGCTAGCTCTGGTAAGAGAATCTTCATAAACTGTCCCCAATCAAAGACAGGTTCATTCTCTATCTCTGATTTCTCCACTACCCGTGAATAATTGGCCTTGCATTCAACTAATCTCAAGTTATATTTGACTAGAACTGCACTTGGAATACATAACAACGTGGCCACTCTTGACACTCTAGGAATCCATTGTCTGTTTGATCTCAGAATATGTTCTTTTATAGATTGTCTTCTCACACATTGCTTGAATTGATTAAGTAGTCTTTCTAGGTCCCCAGTAAGACATGACTTGGGACTTCTGAAATAAGATAAGGTACATGTAATCATGTTTGACTCAGTATTTTTCCAAATTAAAAGGTTTGGTTCTCTAGCCAATCTTAGGCCTAGGGGGAACAATAATCAATGAGATGCATGAACAATTCTTCCGAAGGATCTAACTTTAGGGAAATTGTAATCTGTATAGTTACATGTAGACTGCTGCAACTGACAATGTGCTTCAAGGAACCCCCTTTGATCTTAAATTGCTTCATTATGATAAGTTCCACTTCTGTACAAATTTCTTTCTATTAATGGTGATAATTTCAGTCATACACAAATGAAATAAGAGGTTCAATTGTAAGCTTATATGCAGGCCATTCAGATGGGGAGGCGTTGTGAGCGTTTATTTACTCCCCTACTGTATTTACTGCACATTTGAAGATCTCAATCAAATAACACGGCTCTAAACATTAGAGCAGTTTCAAGATCACCATGATCCTCATCACTGTTTTTAACAGCTATCATGACTCTGTATCCGACAGACTGATACAGTGATAGACTTTGCTTGATACTGAAATGCTCTTCTTGGTAGCTGGGTCTACTCACAGGCTTTCAACTAGAAAGTTAAAGCCCATGGTCTTCTGAAGACAATATATTGCTAAAATATAGCAAGTATATTACCTGACTCCATAACTATGCATTGTTTTCATCTGTTGCTTTGAAAAATTATGAACGAAATGTTTTGAAAAATTGTTTGTGACGTGATAACGAGCCATCTTTGTCAATATCTGCGATGACATCTTATCCAACTTAAGGACCATCCGAATGGTCATATTTTCAAGCCTACGGGGTGTTTATTTGAATAAAATCATCGTAAATAAAGATATTTAGAAAACATTTTCCATTTTCTGAAATTCTTTTCTGAACTAGAACATATTAAATTCGCTGGAAATTATTGGCTATAGCGAATAAAATATGGCCTGCCAATACAGCTATGGGTTGATGTCCGCTGCACGGGGTAGGCCTATATCATCCTATATGTATATTGTACTGCCTATGTCAAATTGTCAAAGACCTAAAATAAGCCCAATTGAAGCAGAGGAATTAATATCTTTATCGGTAAAAATAATTTGGAATTCATACCATCCGGGCTTTCAACTATAGTAGATAACATTCAATGCTGGCAAAATAGATCTCTGCTAAGTAGTTTCCTGAATTTATAAATGATTCAATGGGACTCGGGATTTGGACCCATCTTCCCTAAGTCAATGTTGAGAAAGCTCAAAATGGCCATTTCGAAAAAGCAAATTGGCCCAGCTTGGGTTCTACTCAAAAACGAAGGTCAAAATGATCCAAATAGCCTGTCAAAGTCAACGGGTCCATTTTTAATTTTCCAATCAAAATTTCCGATCATAATTTAACCAGGACGTTATTTCATACTTATATCAGAAATCTGAAACAAGCTCCCCGATCTGTAATTTGACTGCAAAAGAAACAGAAGCAAACGTTTTTCTTTCCATGAAAGTGCAAGCAAAATCATTACTGACAAAGTTATGTTACACAAAGGGTATTTTTAATATGCAGAATACAGATGTGTCTCGGTGCAAAGGAAGTTACACATTTAGAGCAACTCTTGTTACGCTCATAAAAGTACATCTAATTTAGTTTAGCTAGTCATATGAAACGTCTTGGAGAGTGAGGTTTTGCTTTTTCACCAGGCAACATGCAAACACCAAATTTAAATCGTATTTTATGATCATTCATGCTGGGTAGAAAATATGGAATAACAACACAGCTCTTCCATTGGTTAACCAGGGTGGTAGTGGCATATTTCCCGGTGGACTTTGCATCCCAACTTCTTAGAAAAGCTTGAGATAACATGTTAAGAATTGTAATGTAAGCCTCAGCTCACAATCGTTTCATGATTCATACTCTAATCTAGTACTAGTGAGCCTTTACACATTATCACAAGTTTAATTGATTACATAGAAGAGGAGAATATCTGTCTTTGCGGACCTGAGAGATATCAATTATACTAACATTATCATTGAAAGATTGAGACTGATATAATATAAAATGGCTAAACTAGTCGGGTAGGTGTTATAACAATATTATTTTCCTTTACAATAATTTTTTTGTTAATGTCAACGGTCCATTCAATATGATATTATTTTAAGGATTATTGATAACGTTTCCTCTATCCTCAGCATCTTTTTGATTGTTTTTGATCGACATTTGGATATCGCGTATTTACTATTTGCAACGCGTTGGATATTTTGATATTTTCAGTTTAGCTGGAGTGCTAGTTTTCACACTTGCCCTAGTGAGGGGACTCAACGCGGGACAATGTTTTGTTGGGGAAATCTTTGGAACAGAAGATGACGTGGCGGGTACGTGTACAAAGACATGTCCAGAGGCATCGGGAAATACTGGTCGAGCAGGGTGTGATAGGGTCAGTTAAAAGTCTATATTTACTATTATAGGGTTCAAATATACAAGTAGTTACGTCAAATGTCACAATTGGATTTATTAAGAGGTTTAAAAAATGTACATTTTGCCAAGAGTTCTTCAGCTCATGCCAAAGGCGTCACTTCCTTCTTGGGACCCAAATTATATCAAGTCTACCTTTAAGACGTCTTACAGGGTAATCGTTGTAAACACTTGGGACAACGCATTTATTTTCTCATACACAAGAGCAGATAAGAGATAAGATAAGCCAAAAACAGTTTGGCTTCTGTACATGTACATGTACTGTACTGTACTGTACTGTACTGTACTTTACTGTACTGTACTGCACTGCACTGCACTGCACTGCACTGTTCTGTACTGTACTGTACTGTACTGTACTAATACAGACTTTCACGAGCGCAATACATCCTGTATTGCACTTTAAATCATTCAATATAGTTTTATGTAATGAATTCCTTTGTTTTCCTCATGGTGTCTTCATACATGTTTGTTATTATGTAGGCATTGTAACTTCCAATACTACAAATTATTTGTTTGATTTTTAGTTGTCAAATTGTCGCCATCACATGGAGGGTTGGACGAGGGGGTTCGTGAGATGTGACATCTGTAAATGCGACTGCTATAAGAATTGTCAATCTGGAGAAAAGTGCAGATTTGCTTCAGGAAATACAGTTTCGCGCACATACGTTGAGCCAGATTTGAACAGCGGCTCGTGCACTAGTAAGTTTACGATCATTATCATGTTGATTTAATCTACATTTTTAGATTTTGACCTTTCGAGCAATATGTAGACTTGAAATATGTTGGAAAACCTTATCACTATAAAATAAATAGTTTTAACGAACTTTTTTGGACTCAGTGACTTTGACTTAAATTATGCCCTTTTAATTTTTCACAGCCGTTTATCGAAATACATTGAATCCTAAATTAGTGATGCATTATTTAAGTAATAATGCACGACTCGAGAATGCACAGTGAAAAGGACATAACGTGTTGTATGTTTGGTAACTGGCTACCTGCTCATTTAAAATGAATAATGATTTCAACAGAAACATGTTCGACTGTTCCAAAACAGTTCGACAAATTCGGTTGTAAAGAGATCAAGAATTGTCGGATGAGACAGCAGGGTTGGCTCAGAGGATTTGTGCATTGTGGCATCTGCCAGTGTGACTGCGTTCTTCCTACAATTGATCCACTCGATCTTGCACCTGGGAGACATCCGGGCCAATGCTGTAAGTATGAAACTGATACACCGACTCCCCATAAAAGGTTTAGCAACCGGGGTTCATTTCTTGAAATACGTGTCAAAGCTCTTTTAAGTGTCAATTCTATCAAATTCCAACCTATTACAGCAAAATCATGATTCATAAGGCTTTAGCACGCTATTGAAATAAAGGCTTTTGATTCGTCAACACTCTTTCTTAACGTAAATTGGAATATACACGTTATATTCATTGTGATTGTTATACTGTATCAAATGTATTTGTACATGTAGATGGTGATTCAAGTGCCACAACTCCACCAGGCGGTCCAACTACTACTCCTCTCCCAGAGCAACCGACGCGGCGTCCATGTGGAGGCGTGGAAGGAGGAGATTGCGGACTTTTCGGACTACAAGACAATGACGGATCTGGTTTTTGTAACACGGAAAACAAACGCAAATGCGTCGCCATACCTACGTCTTCAAAATTCACGACGGATGGGATAAACACTTTGAATGTTATGAGTTATAACATATTCGAAAGACGATTTGCTATTTCACACGATGGCCAGGTGGAAAGGACGTGCAGGATACCAAAGATGATTGCTGAAAAATTTAATACTGTTGATGTAGTCGTATTTCAGGTAGACTGCTACAGTACTGTATTCATGACATTGTGTATTTTTTATTAGATGGAGTTATGTGGGTACCCTTACATTTGACAATAACTCTATTTGGCTTTCTACTAACCTCAATCTGTTTTAGGAGGTGTTCATGGGTGGATGTTGGCCAGATATCAACATGAGAGAGCTCCTCAATTTCTATGGCTTTCCCTACACAACAGAAACCATTGACGGTAGTGGCGATTTCCTGCAAGTTGAAAATGGTGGCGTTTTCATTGCATCGAGATGGCCTATTGTTGAATCTAAAGCTCATGTGTATGCGGTACGTTTTGCCAGTTTTGTCTCTGCCTTATTCTGGCCATGTCCTTTTTATGTTAACAACATTTGAACAAGGTCGCTGTCAACAAAGACGTTGGTTTATCATATTGAATGATTTACAATTTACATTATGTATCAGATCTTTCGTTTTAGGCATTTGATTCATTTACTGCAGATAGGCTTTCGAAGAAGGGTGTCATGTATGCCCAAATAAGGAAGACTTTCAATGGTGCCTCTAAATCCTTCCATATCTTTGGAACACATATGCAGGCTGAGAAGGGCGCAAGTACAGATCGAGCACGTGTTGCCCAAGCTCGAGAGATGAACACCTTCCGTGGAAGCCTAAGAATCCCAAGTAGCGAGCCTGTAATTTACGCTGGTGACTTTAATGTAGATAAGATACACGAACGTACACATGCAAATGATGTTATGGGAGCCCTTGATGCTACAGTTCCTGCTGTATCTGGCGCTCTTACGGGGACTCTTGATACAAACAAAAATGAACTGGCAAGGGTAAGTGAATTGCCGATAACAATGTTCTTATCACTTATATCTTCCATCCATTATGACTCAAGTTTTTAGTTTTAATACAATTTTGTTGATACTTTTTGCTTTTATTTCCAGTTGGGCAAATCTAGCGACGACCCCTCAGTTCAATGGTTGGATTACGTTGTGTACAACAACAAGCACCAGGTACCAAGATCGGTCTCTATGGTAGCACATGATGTGAAAGCAGACCAATCTTTCAAAGTATGTTGGTGTGAGGGCTGTATCTTAAAGGTAAGGACGGTAGTATATGATTAGAATGCCGAGTTTCCTTGATTTCACTGGCCAGTATCAAGCGAAGGTAACGGTCGTAACCTTTGCATCTAAGATGGTGGACGGTAAGTATCTTCCGCCGCTTAAGCGAAGGTAACTGGGATTTTTGTTTTACAGATAATGAGATAACTGATATGTGGTGATGCGGTAAAGTCATGAGAGTCCATCATGGAGAGCTAAGATGTCCAGTTACCGTGTTACCTTCCCTTAAGCGTTTGAAGATATCGTTGAACTGTGGCGCCTGCGCGATATATAAACAAATTTTCATACTCAAAAGTTCCCATGTCATTCGCCTGATTTGATTCAAATATCACATAACGTCAACTGTAAAGTAGTTTAATTCGATGAAAACTAAAAATGTCGAAATCGACAATTACCGTCCGCCATCTTGGATGCGAAGGTTACGGCCGTTACCTTTGCTTGATACTGACCAGTGGATTTAACATAAAGTATTGTGTATAATATATCAAGAACTAGCACTCATGAATTTGATACAAAACATACCGAATTTGTAAAATCATTGAACACCGTCTGAACATTCAAAAGTGCATATTACCTTCGAATTGCATGAAGTAAAAACAAATAACAAGCTTATTACAAAATGTTTTTGGTTTCAGAGTAACGATTACTTGTATCCAGGAAGCAGCTGCTCGAATGTTAAAGGAATTCGAGATCTTTCCGACCATTTTCCAGTAACTGCAAAATTTGTATTTTAACATGAATAGACATTACAAATGTAAACCAGCTATATATTGGAATAATAGATTTACTGTAGATTGTACGAGACTTCTATTGTAAATTATAGTCTTTGTAAATAAAAGTTTTGATTGATAATGACTATTTGTGACAGTATATATTCTATATTCTCTACGAGTCGTATATGAATTTGAAGTTTAGCCTACAAGGAATCGAATGATTTTAATGTATGGTTTTATAAGCAGATTGCATAAGCGTAACCTGTAAAACGCGATAATCTTGCATCAAATATCAAGGGAGAAGGTTACAGTGGCTTGACGGCACTATGTGTTTAACTTTAAAATGCTTTAACCACCCCTGTAGACACATCCAATGTGTCAAATTGTATTGAACCATAAAATATACAATCTTTCCAAATTGTAAATGTGCTTGAAAGTCATGTCATCTGAATCACTGATCTGAATGATACATGTTGCCTATGTCGATGTGCTATTGTCTGTGAAAAGATCAAATATGGATTTCGCCAACGGTTATGTCCGCCATTTGTGACAACGGTATCTGACTTGTTTACCGTTGTCAGAGTATTCCGGTTAGATGTAGATGTTGCCCCCCTATCAAACCAAACTCTCAACCATTTTTCCAGTCCTAAGAAAAAGTACAAAGTAGCCTAAGAGTATCATTAGCAAGATGTAAAAATTTAAAAAAGATCAAGTTAATATCAAGAAATTCAAAATATTACGTCAAAAATAAGTGTTTGTACCAGCTTTCAGGTGATATAAATACGGAAAGGTGTTTTGCTTGCTGGAAATGGATTAATAAGTGACTTTTGCATTCATATTGGTTATTTTGACATACTGTCTTCAATTCAAAAATACACACATAATATGAGGCCAATCTCTTGGATATTTATAGCACTAGCAGAAGATACCCCTAAAGTGCCTCAAGTTGGGTTTTAAAATAATTGGACTCATCTATTGCTGAGAAATCACTTGTCAAATTGTTTCATCAAAATGTTAAATCAAAACGATATTCTATTGCTGCCGGATTTTTAGAGATTCTCGTGGGAGGGCTAATTTGCAAAAAAGAGAGTGAAAAGTAGAATTATCTCTTACATAAAGCGAAATGCTGCTAGGTTAAAAATGGGCGGTCGAGAAGGTGGCGGAAATTTCAAAATTCGATTATGTGACTTTTGAAGAACCATCTTTTTATAATTCAAAAGATATTAATTTCGATGGGCCACTTTGCCCCACAGGGCCGTTTTGCCCTATGTTCCCTTACATATTTTCCAAAGATATCGAAATAAAACTACGAATAGTTGAACTGGAAACAAGTACAATGCAGTGGGCTATAAACAATGATAAAGGGCCGATAAATTGATTTGCACGGATTTAGATTTTGGCTTAGCATGGAGGTATGTAATCGTTGAGTACTGGCTTGCATATCCATGGATTAAGCGACTTATAATATATATCAGGAAATGGCATAAAATGTATTGCAATGTGTTATGAGATAAAAAGCACAATACAAGCACATTAAAGTGAATCGGAGCAGGGATCGGAGTGAACCTTTGATGACGTGACACTGTTTATGATATCACAAATTATTAGTATTGCTATAGATACAGAATAAAACATGACTTGAAAAGTGTAACGGGTGATATTCATATAGTCAATGGTCAAGAATGGATGAACGTGGGTTTTCTCAAGGGTGCCCTTCTCAAATGCGTTTCATCGCTTTGATAACAAGACAGATACAAAACATTAAAGATACAAATGAAATCTTTATCAAACAATATAATACCGATGAACTGACACAAAGGAGGAGGGTCGTTACCAGAAAAGATGAGGACTCGAATGACCTTGAAAGTGCATTGGTGGAAATTGAAAATCCCCCCAATTTAGATAAAGATAATCAGGCATCGATTATGGACATTAATAAGTACTTTCTAGATACATTTGTTGGTATTCGTGCTCAGATTAACGAGGACGCTAGACTTCCTTTTGGGAGTAACGACAATGGGAGGATACAGAAAATAAGGGATATTGTTGGTAAATAAAAATTATTCAGTTAATTGAGGCCTATTTTAATATTGAACCAAGAATTCGACCAAGATATTTTACCAGGGCATCTAGGCTAAAGCAACTAACATCGTTGACATGACATGACATGAGTGTCACGATTTATCTTAGCCATCATAATTTAGATGAATGCACCTTATAACTCATGTAAGCTTATATGTTTAGTGACCTGTAGATGTAATTTAGATACTAGAGCAAAATGTTCATACTATAAATCCTCTTTTTCCTTATTACGTTCACGAGAGCCAGAAGGCCTATGACTCATATCGAAGGGGACGATCATTCATGGGGACCATCATTTCCTTGACACACCTTTAGAGATGAATATTTAATGTTGTAGAAGATGACGAAAAGTTGGTGGTCACCAGGGATCGTACTAAGAACGTACAGGTGGATCTGTTGAAGGGCAAGCTGGAAAGAAGGAAGAAGCTTCGAGATGACGTTAGAGGAAAGATTAAAAGTTGTCTCGATAATCTCAAATCTGAAGTGCAGGTATGTATTGTTATAACACGTCGATCAAGAGATGTGAACGGAGGGTACTCAATTTAAAAACGTTATAGAACGTTTATTTAGAATATTACAGTTTAGTTTAAAAGTTTAAAATAGTGTATTAAAGTCACACACATATTATACAATTAAAATACATAAGATAAAATACAAATCAACATATATGTCCACATTACATTACGGAGAATTAATGATTAATGCGACACTGTAAAAACACACGCGCGACCTTTTTGCGACGTGTCTATTCTCTTTAGCTTTTAGTTTATGAAATATATTTCATAATTAAAAGTGGCAATTGTTCCTTCTTATACATGTTTTTATTTTCTAATCAATATCATTTACTCAATATCAAAATGGATCTTATTTTTAGGTGATCATCGACAATCTCATAAAGCACAACAGTAGAAGTGTTCCAGCTACGAAACTCAGCCTGATACTTTCTGATCTATCCACGCTACAACATCTCATCAAGGAAGGAGAGTCATCTGCCGAGAATCTAGCCTCAACAAGAAAGGAAATGAAAACTGTCGAGGACATTCAAATCTTGATACGCGCATTGGATAGCACACGAGTACTGTACAGGGCAGCATGTCACCAGTTGGCCAAAACTAGGTACAAAATAAAATTGCATCGGGATGATAGGCCAAGGAAAAGGAATAAGAAATGAGTGAATGTTTTAATGAATACCAGTGATTCCTTCCAGGCCTTCAAATTTAAGATTATAAAACAAGTATAATTGATATCTAAAAAGGATCTGAAGTAAATTTGCACTAAAAAGGTGGTTAGATTTGCTATCGATCACTGGTAGACTAACGCAGCTCTACCATGTAAATTGCTTAGATGTTCACGACTAATCTAACACATATAACCAATTCAAAGAACTGTTTGTCTCCTTTCAGATCTAAACGTCAGTCGAGTATAACCTTGATAAATAACAAGGAAGATGACCATGACGTCCCCAAACCTGGCGACGAACAAAAGTCCGAAGCAAGCGGAATTTTCCAAAATCTAAGACAACTTATTTCAAATATAAGTGACACTATACGACAACGGAGTCCGAAGAAAATTGAGATCAAAGAGGACATTGCGACAGGGCACGCAAAAGTTAATGACGATCACTTTGATGGTAAAACAAACGCTCCATCTTATCCAATACACACACGGGGGCAAAAACTTTCACATGTCCTCGATCATATTTCAAATAGACTAAGAGATGCATATAATCGAGGAGATTGCGGTGTATTAGCGATGATCAATGTCGTAATTTTCATTCTCTACATTGCTATATTAGCTCTAGTAGTTCTAATAGGCCTTATAGAGGATGACTGCAGTTTGTCTGTGTCTCTGCAAGAAATCTTATGGAACACAATGGAAATAACACATTACACACGCCCACCGGTGTGATCTTGAATCGATCATTTTGCTCACCATTTTGAATTTCCATGCTACATTAGAAACAAAAATATTTAATATCTATATCATCGTTAGGAGTTAGGACTACGCTGAACAATTTTAATAAGACGACGATGTTCGTTTGGAAAAATCCATTTATTTGAGATTACTAAAAACGATCTTATCGCATGGTCATGATATATCAATGAAATAAAAGTATTCATCAAAATGATAATATCGAGTGATATTTTGCATATTATAATACGAGTGTGATATGAACATATCGCATACATATTCCATATGATATTATTCAAAAAATGAAATTTCAATTTTTGAAAAATCACTGGATAATATACAACTCGTTTGAATCGTTTGCACTTTCGTTTCGCTTAGTTGTGTCGATGTATTGATATCATCTCGTTGATGATAATTGTGGCTGCTATTCATCATGTGGACCGTGATGTTTCACATACGTATGTGAACCTCCAAATGTTCTTGGCTACCAGTATTCTGACTCTTACCGAAGTACTCCTGACTTGACCTAATTCTTGGTTTACTCATTTTATCAAATAAACTCGATACGTTGATTTTCAGTTTTCAATTCAATTTTATCTTTCTTCCAGAGATGAATGTTGAAATTAAGTTAGTTAAAACACTTAATGTAACATGTGTGTGGCTGCCTCATGCACAAAATGTCTTCCATTTATTTTATATTAGATCCCCAGGTTTTCGATTTTGCACCTTTGAAAACTCCTGAGGAATATAATATTTAAATAGAGTATACCAATACATTTAAGTTGGGTCTCAATTTCAGGAATATGCCACATTTTTGGGAAATGAGCTTTTAAATAATTGAACTCTGAACACTTGGGTTGTCAGGATAGCTGGGGGAGAGTCGGAATACTTGGGTAGCCCAGAACACTTGTGCTTCCACATACAGTACGTAGCTTGCCATTCATGACATAAAACCATTTGGTTTAGAAGACGGAGGCTCTGTAATCTACTCGACGGGTACGAAGCTACTGTCACAGTTACAAGCTGAACCGAACCGTTATACAGGGTGGGCCAAAAAAAACCACCCCCCTAGCAATTAATTCTGATAAATATTTATTTTTTAACATGTACACCAACAATGATATATCATTTTAAAGATAATTTAATTTGCAACAAAATGATATATAATAGAACAGTTTTCAACAACCATGGCTCGAGATATAACCATTTATGTGACATGGGGGGTCAAAAAACACATTTTCAATTTTTATTGATTTTGCGAACAATAGCCTATTTCTACCAAATTTTACTTTTCAGTTAAAAATTGCTACATTGTCATGAGTCTTTCATTATTGGATATTATATATTGTTTTCATTCAGTTTTTGAACCATGCATGCTCAATAAACATCTGTATGCTTATAAAACAAATTCATTTCTTCTTCAGTCTGTCCAAATATGGCTCAATAAAGCCACCCCCGGACTCACCTTCTGATCGAATTATTCGCTAAAGACACGAAAACCATTGGTATAATTGATGGATCTATGCAGAAGTACCATGAAACTTCTTATTATTCATTCTTTCAGTTTGTCTACCTCCCTGATAGGCTAGTGATCTTCATTGACCAACTGTTTTAAATGCCCCAAGTACTATACATGTAATCAACAGGACTCTATAGAGTCTATATATCAGTAAGCAAAAATAGGGACATTTGCGATAAAAGGCTACTCAAATCGAGATGACATTTTTCTGAAAGGGTAGTGGTGTCCACTCGGTGTTTCCCAAAACATGCAGGCCCTGTTTTTGTTGAACTAGGAGGAAAAATATATATACTCTGAATGTTAATGACATGAGATGTTAAAAAGGACTCCTCAAGGATATAAAAACTTTTTTTTTTCATTTTCTGATAGGAAAGTGCTTCATCACACAGGTCCAATGCTACCCTGGAGTTTTTGGAGATTCGAAATTACGCCATCTCTAGCCCGGACAAATGGCTTACTGGCAGTCTAGATGCCAATAATGTTGATTACCATACCTGGGGGCATCTAGAAAAGTTGTTATTTAAAGATACCCAGCCTATCAGGGATGTAGAAGAATTAAAAGAAAGATTAACTAGCAGTTGAATGGTACTTCCGCATACATCCATTAATTCCGATCAGAGGATGGGTCGGGGGGTGGGTCTATTGAGCCATATTGGGACAGCCTGAAGAAGAAATGAATTGGTTTTATAAGCATACAGATGTTTATTGAGCATGCATGGTTCAAAACCTGAATGAAAACAATATATAATATCCAATAATGAAAAACTAATGACAATGTTGCAATTTTTAACTGAACAGTAAAATTTGGTAGAAATAGGCTAAAATCGCAAAATCGATGAAAATTGAAAGGTGTTTTTTGACCCCCATGTCACATAAATGGTTATATCTCGAGCCAGGATTGTTGAAAACTGTTCTATTATATATCATTTTGTTGCAAATTAAATTATCTTTAAAATGATATATCATTGTTGGTGTACATGTTAAAAAATAAATATTTATCAGAATTAATGGTTAGGGGGGTGGGTTTTTTTGGCCCACCCTGTATATATATTACATGTTATGGCAAAATTGAATGGGCGAAAACACATTCGGTAAAAGCGCATTATCAGTCAAGAAATAATCTCAATGTACATGGCGTTTGCTTCCTTAAAGTTAATACCGGTCAACTTATTTTGCATTGAAGTTGGGCCTGTTTGTTTGGCAGGCGTGGTCTTTGATTAAGTGAAGCATGACCGCCATCACGCTCCATTTACGATTTTCAGCTTCTTGCCACACAAGGGAATGTTTCTCATCGTAGAATACGTCATCAGTCACCTCTTCGGGTTTCCTAGGGAGGCAATGAAGAAACACCCAATTGTCGGCCATCGCTGACACCATGTTACGGTCGATTTGGTAACCTTGGAATTCTTGGATGCGTTCCTGTTTTTCATCCTCTTGGCCCATGGAGACCCAAGTGTCCGTAACTATGACGTCTGCTTTATGGGCAACCTCCATGGGGTCGTTGCTAGTAGTGATCGAGGTACCATGCTCGTTGGCTAGCTCAATCGCGTCCTCCATGACCGCCTTGTCTGTCTCATATCCTACAGGGGTAGCAATACGGAGATCCATGCCCATTTTAGGACATCCCATCATAAGGGAATGTGTGATGTTGTTTCCATCACCGACCCATGCGACTTTGAGTCCCTTGAGGCGACCAAATTTTTCCTGTAGAGTTATGAAATCAGCTAGAATCTGGAGAGGGTGATATAGGTCAGAGAGACCGCTGATTACGGGCTTGTCAGACTCCGCTGCTAAATCATCCAATATGTCCTGGCCGTAGACACGAGCAAATATCAAGTCACACATTCGAGAGAGTACTCTGGCACTATCTTTGATCGACTCATTAACACCAAGATGAATGTCTTGTGGACTCAAAAATACTGGATGACCACCCAACAGAGCGAATCCAGTTTCTGTCGATAGCCTCGTTCTGGTGCTTCTCTTCTGGAAGATCATCGCCATTGATTTTCCTTTGAGGGGCTGAAAGAGCTCACGGTTGATTTTAATCCTTGTTTTCAAATCCATAGCGGTCCACAAGAGTTGGTGTATCTCAGATGAACTGAATTGTTTGAGCGTAAGGAAATCTCTGCCAACCATGCTGGGTGCCGTTGATTGGTATCTTTGTTGGGCTGGCACTGCTCCGACGCCATAAACATTAGTCTTGTGGACCCCTTTCCAAAGCGAATTCAGGCGATTTGCACTATTCCTCAATGTTGTGGCAGCCATGATTGCTAGCTGTTAGTCGTCTAACTTTTTTAATATCAGTACGTCCTTGTAGCGTACAGTACAAAGGTAACGGTGACCTTAACTGTCTCAATATAAATTACTGTAAACTGCAACACGTAAACAGACTTTCATTCAGATAATCTCGTCGATAGTCTTAAAACGTGAGTCGGTACTCTGAAAAGAATATGTAGTAAAGCAAATAATGAGTTGTTTATTAAAGGCCCTGTGAGAAATTTGAAACACTTCGGCTTAAATATTACAGACTTGCTTTGAATACCTAGGCCTACTGATGATTTGGTTCGTAAAACTCACTTTCACACTACTATACCTAACACCTAGAAATGCATAAGATACTTTGTTTGTCTAATTGAATTGTTTAATATATTTTTGAAAGTGCCCTACTAGCATCTAATTTTCAACCGATAAACCATTCATAAGGAACAGACAAATAAAAACAAATACATACTTTGTTCAAACAGAAATGTAAATGAGATGTATTTTGAAAATGTATTAGCACGACCCCTAATTTTAAAAAGATGTGCAATAAATCAGAGTAAAACATCATTTCTTATTCCAAAACATATTCATCAGCTGGTTAGTTTTTAACAAAATAAACAGTTTTTTCTTCTATCACGACCTTTTTATTTATTCTGGGTACACCTCGTAATATTGTCTGGTATTGCAGAAGGGATTTCAGTGCAGATATAGTGGGCTGTATAGCAAGGTTGGTCGGGGTCGGGAGCTGGGGATAATTTTATTGCTTAAATATAACCATATCATCATCCTACATTAGAATCCACTCAGTCTAACATCAATTTCTGGTGCGAAAGTTGTCATTTTTGAGTTTTACCCCCCTTGAAAACAAATTCTTGGGGGTACTATGACAAATGCTTATAACTAAAAATGTATTTATTTGATCATCTTCATTTTTGGCATGGGTAATGAACAGGTATGTAAAAGTAGAATTTGAAAAATTCATACAAATCGGGTTATTAATCCATTCTAAAGATAATAATTCAGGTATTTTCAAGGGTCAATTTCAACATTTTCTGAATGTCGCCATGAAGTAAAAATGACATTATGACCCAATGACATATTTATTGAATGTTTTTAGGCTTTAGAAAATAATTTGACTACAAGCTAAAATAATAACATGAGAATTGTACCATATTGATAATTCTTCATCGCCATCCAGGCACAAATAAACTCCCCCCTCCCCCATTTTCGAATATAAACGTATATACCTGAAACTTCCTCAAATAGCTATATTTCAGAAACTATTACAGCCTACATTCCAAAATTTCTCATGGTGATTATATACATCATACTCTGCATAATAGATATACAATTGAGATTTATCCATTCTATATCTAATAATTAAGGTATTTTCAAGGTTCAATTTCAGCATTTTCGGAATGTCGCCATAAAGTTAAAATTACATGACCCAATGACATATTTATTAAATGGTTTTAGGCTTAAGAAAAAAATTTGACTAAATAAGCTAAGATAATAACATAAGAATTGTACAATATTGATAATTCTTCATCGCCATCCAGGGATAAATAACCCCCCCCCATTTGCGAAAAGAAAGGTTTTTACCTGAAACTTTCTCAAATAGCTGTATTTCAGAAACTATAACAGCCTCCATTCCAAAATTTCTCATGTTGATTACACATATCAAAATCTGCATATTATACATATAATTGAAGTCTTAACACTTTTTTGAGGGTGTAGCTAAGAATAATAGTATATTTATTAGACATCTTAGAAATCAAAATATATGTTTTAGAAGGTTGTCACAACACTACAAGAGAGATATTTTGGATTGTCATCATTTTTGAGAATATTACAAAAACATATTCATATTATGCAATAATCACCTATGCTTGACAACATTGAATAATGATTAATATGTTCGACCAATATGTTTTTGAATAACTTTACCAATACATTTTGCTTGAGTATTCAATTCAACATTTGCTTCAAGCAGTTGAACATTGTTAGTTATCAACATCACCTGAACATATTTCATCTATGAAATTGTTGACTTCATTATCTGTCATATCATTATCAATTTTGTCATTTGATTCTTCGTTATAAATGTCTACCAACTCTTGTGGAAGAATGGAATTTGGATTTTCAGCCCATTGTATATCAAGTTCGCCATTTTCTAGGATCCATCCATTTTCTGCTGGAGAAGGTATATCCATTTGGGCTTTGTGAGACTGCTTCCATATGTAAGCTTGGTAGTTACATCTTTTACAATGTTGAGCAAGGGATGACATGCATGGAGGAAGGAGACTGATGTCTATCGCATCATACTAGTAGTTGTTGATAGAGGCTTGAGGTTGAAATCTGTTTGCAAAATTTATGTATTGTACATGATTGATGTCGGTTTTTTTCTTTTCCCCGTACATGATGCACACAAATCTTTCGAGTTCTTGAAGATGCCTTGGTCAAGAACTATAGATTTTCCAAGTTCTTGAAAGATTGCATGCATGTCCTCCCTCTTGATCAACTATTTCAGAGGGTTTATTTTTCCCTTTCTCATGAAGGCACTGGTGGTATCACACCCTGTAAAACAGTGGATACCGATCAGGGTGGCTGTGATTGGATCACCCAAACCTGCTACATCTGTCTTCACATCAATGAGGCGCCTCTTGTTTGAAACTCCAGTGTCAAACAGTACTTTGAGAAGTAGGTGTTTGATGTAATGTAGCAGGAGTATGGGTACATCTGTGTCTGGAGATCTGACAAGTATGGTCTTGGCCTCAGCCCCCACCTGCCTTGATGCATATAAAGCATGGAGAATGATTTTTGTGTCAGCTTCATCATGGTTGCACCATAGGTCTAGGACTTCCTCACTAACAACATGTGACCCATCACTTGTGAGTAAGAAGCACTTCTCCTGACAGACAAAGTAAATTGGCGTGTCCTGAATTTTTTTTCATATTTGTCCTTCTTCCATTCTGCGAGGATAAGTTGGAAAAGCTGAATTTTGTTTTTCCTATTTGAAAGGAAGTCCTTCCAATTTTTTGGGGACTTTAGTTTTGGGACCTTTCACTAGCAGTGGTTGCATTTTACCTCTACACCTTCTCTTTAATAGACCAAGAGGCTGAGGCCAAGACTATAATTGTCAGATCTCCAGACACAGATGTACTCATACTCCTGCATGCTACATTACAGCAAACACCTACTTCTCAAAGTACTGTTTGACACTGGAGTTTCAAACAAGAGGCGCCTCATTGATGTGAAGACAGTTGTAGCAGGTTTGGGTGATCCAATCACAGCCACCCTGATTGGTATCCACTGTTTTACAGGGTGTGATACCACCAGTGCCTTCATGAGAAGGGGAAAAATAAACCCTCTGAAACAGCTGATCAAGAGGGATGTCATGCATGCAATCTTTCAAGAACTTGGAAAATCTACAGTTCTTGACCAAAGGCATCTTCAAGAACTCGAAAGATTTGTGTGCATCATGTACGGGGAAAAGAAAAAACAGACATCAATCCTGTACGATACATAAATTTTGCGAACAGATTTCAACCTCAAGCCTCTATCAACAACTATGATGGGATAGACATCAGTCTCCTTCCTCCATGCAGGTCATCCCTTGTTCCAGCAGAAAATGGATGGATCCAAGAAAATGGCGAACTTGAACATCCATATGCATTTCTTCCACAAGAGTTGGTAGACATTTATAAAGAAGAATCAGATGACGAAATTGATGATGATATGACAGATACTGAAGTCAACAATTTCATAGATAAAATCTTTACAGGTGATGTTGATAACTAACAATGTTCAACTACTTGAAGCAAATGTTGAAGTGAATACTCAAGCAAAGTGTATTAGTGAAGTTATTCAAAAACATATTCGTCGAACATATTAATCATTATTGAATGTTGTCAAGCATATTGACTGAATGTTGTCAATTGAATGTTTAGTCAATATATGAAAATAGGTGATTATTGCATAATATAAATATTTTTTTGTAATATTCTCAAAAATGATGACAATCCAAAATATCTCTCTTGTAGTATTGTGACAACTTTCTAAAACATATATTTTGATTTCTAAGATGTCTAATTATACTATTATTCTAAGCTACACCCTCAAAAAAGTGTTAAGACTTCATTTATATGTGTAATATGCAGATTTTGATGTGAATAATCAACATGAGAAATTTTGGAATGGAGGCTCTAATAGTTTCTGAAATATAGCTATTTGAGAAAGTTTCTGGTAAAAACCTTTCTTTTCGCAAATGGGGGGGGGGGGGATTTTTCCCTGGATGGCGATGAAGAATTATCAATTTAGTACAATTCTTATGTTATTATCTTACCTTATATAGTCAAATTATTTTCTAAAGCCTAAAAACATTTAATAAATATGTCATTGGGTCATGCAATTTTTACTTCATGGCGACATTCCGAAAATGCTGAAATTGAACCTTGAAAATACCTTAATTATTAGATATAGAATGGATAAATCTCAATTATATGTCTATTATGCAGAGTATGATGTATATAATCACCATGAGAAATTTTGAAATGTAGGCTGTAATAGTTTCTGAAATATAGCTATTTGAGGAAGTTTCAGGTATATACGTTTATATTCGAAAATGGGGGAGGGGGGAGTTTATTTGTGCCTGGATGGCGATGAAGAATTATCAATATGGTACAATTCTCATGTTATTATTTTAGCTTATGTAGTCAAATTATTTTCTAAAGCCTAAAAACATTCAATAAATATGTCATTGGGTCATAATGTCATTTTTACTTCATGGCGACATTCAGAAAATGTTGAAATTGACCCTTGAAAATACCTGAATTATTATCTTTAGAATGGATTAATAACCCGATTTGTATGAATTTTTCAAATTCTACTTTAACATACCTGTTCATTACCCATGCCAAAAATGAACATGATCAAATAAATACTTCTTTAGTTATAAGCATTTGTCATAGTACCCCCAAGAATTTGTTGTCAAGGGGGGTAAAACTCAAAAATGACAACTTCCGCACCAGAAATTGATGTTAGACTGAGTGGATTCTAATGTAGGATGATGATATGGTTATATTTAAGCAATAAAATTATCCCCAGCTCCCGACCCCGACCAACCTTGCTATACAGCCCACTAATATGAGTTGAAAAAGGAACCAGATGGGTTCGAAACGTGCTCAGAATACAGTTTGTGATAGAAGATTAGTTTAGAGATAACT